GCACTTAATTAGGCTAAAAAGGCCTAATTAGGTGTATAAGATTAAAAGAATATCTAAGATTAGTTATATTACTATAATAATAAAGTTATAGTTAAAGGTAGAGGTTAACTTATAGGTGTTAAATTCTATGTCTTGTCTATCTTGTTAGTCTTAATTAGTATTTAATGTCCTAATTAGGATAATTAAGGCTCTACTAGCTAGAAAAACACTTATAAGAACTACTTAAAGAAAAACCTAAAATCCTGCCCTATTCTACTAGTATTAATTATTAAGGTCTACTTAGTACTAGCTAACCTTATTATTATATTTTATTATAGTACTTACTAATAACTATAGTTAGTTATAGACTTCTTCTAATATAGACACTAGATTAAATAGGTATAATTTATACTTATAAACTCTAGAGTAAGTATTTAATAACTAGGATTAAAGGACTTTATTATTATAGTAGCTATTAAGTAGTACTTATTAAATAAAAGTAAGTTTATTAATAAGCTTCTTAAGTACTTTAAGCTTACTCTTCTTAAGGTTATTATATATAATATAGTAAAAAGTAGTATTTTACTACTTAGTAAAGTATATCTAAATAGCTTTAAGGCTTTTAAAGTAAGCTCTTATTTAAGTAACTATAGTAATAAAGTCTTAGATATTCTTACTACTAATTTAAGTAAAATAAAAAGTAAAAGCTTTACCCTTAAGTATTAACAAGAAGGCTAATACTATTTAGTGTCTCTTAATACTAATTTTACTATAATTATTATAGAATAAGTTTAACTTAATATTAAATATATTATATATTTTACTAGTATACTTAGATTTATTAGTAATAATCTTAGTTAAGGTACCTAATTACTAAGGAAAAAAATAGTTACTAGTAGTACTACTTTTAATTAGTAGTAGTTATCTTATACCTTAGGGTTCTATAAGATTAGTATATAAGTAAGTAAAAGGTTTTTACTATAATTAATAATAAGTAAAAAAAAATAATAGACTATTACCTTATTAAAATAGTCCTTATATTAAGTTATATAAAGGAAGTAGTAAATCTTATATAAATTAAGTTTACTATAGTAATACTAAGGTTTACTGCTTTTACTAATATAACTTTTATACTTATTTATTAAGTTAGGCCTATATTATTACTAGTTATTACTTAAGGTTTATAAATATTACTAGGCTTTATTTAGTTATATAAGTAATAGGTTACTATTACTATTTTTACTTATACTACTCTAGGCTAATATAACTATATTAAATATTATTTAAAAAGCTATTATATATTTTAATAAGCCTATTAAATATTACTAACTTATACTATACTTTTTTAACTTTTTTATTTATCTAAATATAAAACTTATTATTATTAATAATAGTAATAAAGTATAAGGTAATTTATTAATAGTCTTTAAGTATAAAGATACTTTAGTTAAAAAAAAGTTATAAAAAATTAACAGTAGTACTCTACTAGTAGTACTAAAGAAGGCTTTATTTTATTTATTAAAGTAATATTAAAAGTCCCTTTAAAGCTTATAACCTATAAGAGTATATTTAGCCTATTTAGCTATATAATAAGTAAAATAAAAGTAAATAGTAAAAAGGTCTTACTTATTAAGAAGAATTTCTTAGCTATACTTCTTATAGTTAATATATCTTACTATAAAAGTAAGTACCTTAGGGTATAAAGTACTACTAAATTAACTTATTATAAGGTTAATTATTAAGGTTAATTAGTAGTAATTACTATATAACTTTTATAGTAGTAATTAAGTAGTAAGTTTTTTTTCTTAATATAACTTATACTTATAAGTCTAGGTAGTACTAGGTTAGTTCTATATATATAAGGTAAATAAGAATAATTTTTTAAAAAGGTAAATATAAAAATAAAAAAAAAATTAAATAAGGTAGTAATTATTACTACTTAAGTATCTCTTCTTAATAGTACTATAGTTAGTATAAAAGAGGTTCTTACTTATTAAAGGGGTTCTAATAGTGTAATAAACACTATAGTGTTTCTTATAAAAGTAAGGTAGCCTTAATAATACTTAACTTAGTTAGTAGTCTACTAGGTTATAGTAGGCTAAGTAAACTCCTATAATAGTAAGTCTTATTAATTACTAGTTATTAGTAATAATTAACTATTAATTAATATTAGTTTTTACTAGTTAATTAATAAGATCTTATATCTTATAATATTACAAAGGTTAAGAAAAAGTAGTTAAATTTATAGTTATTAATAGTTAACTAGTTAACAAGGTGAAGTAGGAGCATAAGTGTAGTAGCACCCTTGCGTATAGGCAAGGGTAAGGGATTCTGCCGGTAGGCGGTGTGTCATGTGACCCACTGCCTCCGGCCGCATCACCCATATGCCAACAGATAGATTAAACTATAGTAATACGCAGTCATCTAACGGTGGTGAGGCTGCGGCTAGTGAAGACTAGAAGAGAGTGGCTTTAGCCGACAAGGTGTATGTTGATCCTGCAGATGAAATTACCGGGTCCCATGGCAGTCAAGATACATATTTGCGATATGGGTAAGTTCTTTGAATGGGCTTCATGTGTCGGGAGGGGAGAAGGGGGCAGAATTTGGGTGAGCCTTCCGTTCGATAACTACCTGCGACCTTGCACAATTCGCACCTCTCACTCCGCTCTTAAGCAGCGGTTGACATATGCACCCGTGCCCCTCACAAGCATGAAGTTGTCATCCAGTCTCTATTCGTTATTGAAACCTCTTGGGCTTAACACTGTCCTATCGTCTATTCACTACCGCCCCTGGCAATGCTTGATATCGCTATATTGGTTTCTTGAGTTGCGTTCTCCATCTCATCAAGTGAAGACGGCAATCTGTGTCGCCAACGGGCTATGCGAGGAGATCCTAGAGTTTCCTGCATGTGCCCTCCACTGCAGGATAATAATCAACAATCTTCCATACAGCACTTACTCCCATATAGTATAGTGGTTAGTATACTCCGCTTTCAGTCTTCTAGTGAGATCCGGAGAGTCCCGAGTTCGAACCTCGGTGTGGGAAATTACGCTTTTGCCTTGCGGGATAGATTGCACTCGGGGAGCTTCATTTTTTCTCAAGCTGCATCTTCTTGTAATATACCATTGGTGCAAGTCACATTTGGGGCCGAGCAATCTGTACAGGAGCGGAGTTTCAGTATCCAGGAAATGCTAGACCGGGTCGGACTATTCCCCCGAGCCAGACGGAAAGATGCGCCCCTGTGTGATGAGCGAACTGTGCAAGATAGCCGTGCCGCTCAAGTTGTGGGCCGCGCAGTCTGATATCTCGCGAGACGCCAATCTACGCGAGGTTGGGTTATTGATGGTATTGTATTCACTGGGTTGAATTCAGTTCTAGTCAGGAGAACCCTTAACCCCAGCCAATACGGCAAGTGCTTGCACCAATTCGTACAAGCGTGCGGCTGCATGTAGCTACAAAGTACATTTGCATGCGTCTCAAGGGGGGTTTGGCATTTGTTTGTTCCATATTGGTGACGATCGGTTTAACGTATCATGTATGACTAACCACGCACCGGGTATCTCAGTGTAAAAGCTTATGCTCCGCAAGGAGATTCACAAACTCGTCAATCTTCCTTTTGCGGGTCTCTTGCCGCCTCGTCGTCTCGATGCGCCACAGGAAGACATATCGCTGCGTCTTGTTCAGGGCGTCGAAGAACCTTTTGGCCTCATCGTTCTCCTTCAGAGCCTCCTCAAAGTCCATGGGCACCTCGGTGACGCTCGCCGCCGAGTAGGCCCGGTCCCACCGGCCGTCCGCCTTGGCGGCGTTCACCTCGGCCTGGCCCGCGGGCGTCATCCGCCGCGACTGGGTCAACATCACGGCCTTGTCAACGCTGCGCTTCGACCACATGCTGTTCTTCCTGCGCGGGGTGAACCTCTGGATGAAGTGCTGCTCGTCAAAGGCCTTGCGCTGGCCGTCGATCCAGCCGAAGCAGAGAGCCGCCTCGAGAGCCTGCTCATAGGCCACGGTCGGCTTATCTGCGTTCTTCTTGGCGATTTTCAGCCATACTCCCGACGACTCGCGGTGGGAAGTCCTCAGCCAGTCGTGCCAGGAAGTCTCATCTGGAAGGATGAGGAGCGCAGGCCCAGTGGACCCTACCGCTGAAGGTTCAGAAACGGACGGACTCGGGGAAAGCGTTTCTTCTTTCCGCAGGTCTGCCTTGAGGGTTGATCGCGTTCGTGGTGACATGCTTGTGGCTGCGGAAGCTTGCCGGAAGAAATGGTTGGGTTGCGTGACGAGGCGGCGTGCTGCGATGTTTGGAGTCAGGCAGCAATGGGGGGCTATGTTTCCCTCCCCCCGTTACTATGCAGAAAGCGGAGCTAAACCAGTTGTGCGGTTTTTAGGGACTTGTTCCGCTCAATGGCCTCCGTCCCGACGCGGATGACTCAGCACTCTAACATGCCTTCATTCCTCTGTTTATCAAATGTCTTCAGCATATGCATGCCTAGCCTTCGAGATCCTCGAGATCCTCCGCAGATTGTTGTACTTCACATGGCCCGCCCGTTCCGGAGGTTTGGATCGGGCCGGAGCAGGCATTAGACTCCCGCTTAAGCGGCCCCGCATTCGGGCTGGTCCGAGCCGCGCTGGCCGCTGCCCCTTGCTCGTCGGCGCCAGCTGAGTGGTGCTTTTAAACTCTGGTCGCGAGTTCGCTATGGTCGTCGACCCCTCCGGCGAGACGATGGTCATCATTCTGCAACAGCAACAGGAACAGGGACATGTAGGTGCGCGCCGAAAACGTGGACTGCTCCGAGCTGCGGGCCACCGTAAACGACATATTTGTCTACGACGGGGCCCAGAGTCTGATGCACTACTCTAACAATACTATGTCCGGCCTGGGTGTCTCTATGATCCGCGCCGAGACCGGGCTCAAGGTGCCGCCGGGCAGCGTCGTGGTGTCCTGGGCGCCGTACTACGACCCCAAGAGCCCGGACGAGTATTCTTTTGTGGCCATTGATCTCCTTGACCTGGTCTTCTTCCCGAGCGTGTGCGACTACGCGGACGGGACTGCGTGAAAGGTGTTTCTGGCCCAGAGCCCGGTGGCTGGCGGCGCGATGTTACAGAGTTCTGATGCCATCTGCTCGATTACGGGAGGCATGGTAAGTGCCTGCTATGCGTTGGTACTGAACCAAGGTACGAGGCAGTAGATCTTGACCAAGGGGCCCTGGATGCATTATGATATGTCACTGGACTGCAGTGTGATACACATTCAATTGCCAAAAAGATCGGGCGAGTGAACAACCTAGGGCGAGCACTCACAGCTACGGTAGGGATAAGACGCAGTGCAACGCAAAGCAACGCAGTGGCCCGGAGCAGTAACCACACCGACAGGCACAAGAGAAATATTTACCAGCGCCAAATTTAAACCTTGGTCACCATCGGAGGCGGCTCCGAAGGCTCGGCATAGGTTGAGCTAGGCCTCCTGTCAGAAGGCAGCGGCCGGACCTGAGTCTGTCGGTGGGTGGTTGATGGTGCCGAGGTTCGTGGGTCGTCTTCACCTTTCAAAGCATCTCCGTGGCCCAAGAGGATCAAGCGCTTTCCTGTCTTGATAGTACGTAGGCCGCCGTTCTTGGGGAGATTTGCATGGCCTCGTGTGGCAATGGACTTGTGGGATCTGGAACTAAAAGGGGCAGTAGGATAAAGCTGTCTTTTCTTTTCTTTCGTTCTCCACCGGCACGAAATAGCATCGTGTGAGTTTTAGCTGGGATGCTAGCGTGCATCTGCTTGGGGTTTAGTTTCACCACGGCCATCAGGTTGCTTTTCCGTCTGAATACCTGCGCGACAGGGTCTTGTCTCATCCTTGTGGCCAGCGCCGACACCGACAAGGCTCTGTGTGCCGGGCACGGTGGCAGGCCCATGGAGTGCTCTGCTGGACTGTACTGAAATCAGTATAGTAATGGAGGCCCACGTACTAGCAGCGAGTGGGAGTCTTCGGCGCTAACTGGGATACTCGATTTGCCGATGCCGAGACGGGCGTCTTAATGTCTCCATTTCAATCGGACATTGCCTGCTAAGGGGCAGGAAGAAGTAAAAGCAAGACGCTGGACCTCGCTTGAAATGTATTTGGGCCCCGGTCCAGCTAGGCGAAGTCGAGCACAGCCTGGCTATTTGTTTTGTTGGTGTGAAAAGGGCATTGAGGGGGTGAGAAACAACATAATGTTAATTATGCAGTGGGTTTGCAACCACAAAACATGATTTATGGTTCAAATGGTCCGCTGTAGTTCGCACGGGACCCGCCCGGGGCCTGGAGATTCTGCCAATGGTCCCAACAGAGTGGTAAGGAGGAGCCGGGCGTGACGGGCCGACTGGGAACAGGGGGTAGGGGAGGCCACCCCTTTGACGCTGGACGAAGGAATGATCATCCGTCTCCCCATTTCCACCATCTTGTCACCCCCGCCCTGGCTGCATCGAAAACAACCAGTAAAGAAAAGGTCCAGTATTCGTGGGAAAGAGACACTCTCAAAATTTGACGTGCGTTCCATTCCAACACCATGTGCCGACTGTCAAGCCACTGTGAGATTAACGTTTCGATATGTCGGGAGAAAGAGGAGGGAGAAGAAAAAAGAAAGAATGCAGAAAGGCCTCGCTCCCATATTTTATGACACACGCATGTTGTGCCTCTGGTAGTCAACTGACAGTCTGCACTGCAACACTCTCATCACCATGCTGGCCTTTTTCCTTTTCCTTGGTAGCGGGTGATTAGTCGTTCGTTATTCCCGTCACTGGTCCTCTAGGCTGAACCAGCCAGACCAGACCGATGGCAAAAAGGTGTGGGAGAAGGGCAAGGTTATCCCCTCGTCAGTCGGCAGAGGCACTACGGCAGCTACCCGTACTCTCGGACGCAATTTCCAGCCGAACGGAACTTTCTCTCGTACGAGGGGTTTGTTTTGAGATGAAGCCTGCGAAGACATGCATCTGACCAATACGAATGTACGACGACGACTGGGATCCTAACCAGCGTCGCCCTTCTCGTGTCTCTCCGGCGTCCCGCACTGCAAGCCACAAGGGAACCATGGCTAGTCGTTGCCGTCCAGTGATTGGTGTGCCAGCCTGTCGGGTACCCTGTGGTTCCCCACCCCCTCCATCTCAGCCGATCGTTGCTGTCCTTCGAGGATCCCAAATGTCTTGCCCAGGAATGCAGGAGAGCTGCCGCCGTCCCTCGCTCCCTCGGCGGGGTGAGTGTTAAAATGAGGAGTCTTTCCTACCCTTGCCTGCGTGCGAACACCGGCACTTACGCGGCGGCAACACCCTGGCCACGTACGGCAAGCCGCAACCCAGCGCAGTGGTTAACGATTTCTGATAGCGTGCTTTTTGATATCTAGTGGCCGCCTTGCAAGGCCGCCGGCTTGCGACTTGAGGCTTGGGACTCGCGCCGGAGTGGAGAACGACCAGAAGAGAAGAGGGATAAGAGAAAGAGGAACGGAGAGGACGCCGCTGTTCGTGCAACAACGAAACGCAGGTCCTTGCGCAGCCTTTGTTTTTCCCTTGCTGCTGAAAATTCTGTATCGCCTCTTCGCACCACTGACCGCCACCAGCCTTCCTCCGCATTGGCTCCAGGCCAGACGCTCGTTGAGGAGACGGTAGTTGCCTTATTCTTGAGCGTCAGTCATTCGCAATGGCTATCGACAACCCTGGGTTGTGGCTCGGCTTGGAAGATATCGACTACTTTGGCATCGGTATAGGTGCAGAGCTTGCGGCACCCAGCGCCCAGAGTGCCAGGAGTCAATCGCCTGGCAGCTTAAGCATCAGTCTGGAACCAAGAGGAAAGACACGCGACTTCCTGTGTGGCCGACCCTATCCTCGAACTCATATCGATCAACACTGACCGCCTACAGGTACAATTGCAACGCGGATTTGCTGCACTTTCGTCGTTCGAGTGACCCGTCTCTATGTTCGGTCATAGCCGGCGACGAGGCTCCGTTCAAAGATGTCGTTCTGGAAGAGAAAGATGCACGGCAGGTAGAACAGCCGGACAATAAATACCCAGCAACGCCAGTAGCATCCTCTTCGACCAGCCTGTCGACGACACCGACATTTGCCGGGCCGTTGGAATCGTATCTGACGTGTCCCCAGCCACACGAGAAGCGGGCTTTGTCTCTGTTTTGCGACGACGATTGGGAACAACCATCAATTCCCTCGGACCCCGGCTCCCTCATCATGAGTAAGAGAAGAGTACCCGGCGTGTACAGACTGCCGAGTCGAAGCCCTTCGCACATTAGTGCCGTCACAGGCCCCAGAGACTCAAGGCTCGGATATCTGATGGAGCGCTACCTGGCCTCTGAGGAAGACGGCGAATTCTTGGAAGATCGCCTGGGACACATGCGTTCGGAACAGGGGAATGATGATACCGCTAATATTCCAAGACTAGAGCCCGAGACAGCTCCGCCATCAGGGAATGGTTCCTTCGCTTCGAACCCGTCGATAGCACTGACGACGGGCCCAAGTACAAGCGACATCACTCCCATTGCTGGTATACAAGGTGGCCCCATTGAAGTGGGCCATGATCGTCAGAGTCCGGATTCAGGGATCTTCGACATGGAGGCAGACGAACTCCATCACCTTTTGTAAGTTTTTGGAGTTTTTTTCTTTTTTTTTTCTTCCTCTTTCGCCTCGTTAGCAAGTCAGTTGCTAATGCTCGGCAGGGGGCAGCGCCGGAGGGCGCGAGACGCAGCAAGCAATCGAGTTTTCCAGACGCAAAGGATACCGAGAGGAAGAATCGAAAAGCCGAAACGGATGAGGTCTCGAAGATGACACCAGCACAGCAAAATTGGCAACGTTGATGTCGCTGCTTGCCGTCGTGGGCCGGCCATTCGGCGGCGTGTGTATCCATCCGCCAAGGAGGATGCCAGCAAGTTTCGGATTGAGTCGTCCATAAATGCCGTATAACAGGGCCTAGGAAAGGAATGCATGGGTAACGAAGAGCCTATTGGGGGGGCAACTGGCGTTACAGGGCGACATGAAGAAGGACGAAACGACTATGACGTCGGAACCGCAAGATGGTGGTCAGTCGGTACAGGCCATTGACGACGCTCTATTGAATGAAAATACCATGTGTGTACGTACGTATGTGGACTGCATAATGGTTAACCGTCGTCTTCGTTTGCTTACCTTGAAAAGAACGTCTGGCCAAGCCGCGTACGATCATTTGCTGACAGAAGGATTGGATGCTGAGCCAACATTAAAGAGAGATCATCAGAGCGATCAGAACAGAGAGAGAGTGTGTGCAGCTGGAAAGTCTTCTCGTTATCGTGTCGTGTCGTATCGTATCAACCGCAGGTCTTATCGTTATCTTCTTATCACAAACGCGCCGCAATTGATCTGAGCAGCCCGAGACTTTGGGGGCTCCCCACCGAGCTTCCCACTGAGCTACTAGGTAGGTATGGGTATGTATGTACATAGGTACCTATCTACCTAGGCAGGTAGCTGTGGTCGCCCGCTATCGCTCTGGCCCGTCCCTAACCGTCAAGATTGCAGCTTGCAGCTCCGTAAACCTCACTTTTGACCCAAACCTCCTCTCGCGACCGTCGACACCGATCGCGACACGACACGAAACGACGGCGCTGCCCAATGGCGCCGTGCGAGCTCAGCATTCATGTATAATCGCGAGAACAAGATCATGAGAAAACTCCTCGGCAAAGTGACTGCCGACAGCAGCACCGACACCCATCACTCCGTCGCCATCACAAGTGCGCCTCATTTCCAAGCCTCGTACCGACCAAGCGTTCCGCAAAACGCAACCTTCTCGGCCGGCGTCCCCATCCTGTGCCTGGATTCCTCCCCCGATCGCTGCGCTGCCGTCATAGCTGGAAGGCATGTTCTCAAAACCATCGTCTTCGACGGCCTGTCCGTGAACGAGGCTATCGACCTCCGCAGCGCCATCACGGCCCAATCTGCCTCCAGCAAGACCGCATCGAGCTCCTTGACGGCAGATCAACTCTCCATACGAGACGTCAAGTGGCATGGCGACTCCACCATCTTCACCGCTTGCGCCAATGGCAAGATATTCTCCTACGACCTTGCGAGGATCTCGATAGGTGGCGCCGCACTCGAGTTCGTTCAGACGAGGGAGGACTCGCGCCAGGTCAACAGTCTTGACATCAACCCCCACAGGCAGACAACCCTGCTCTCTGGCAGCCAGGATGGCATGGTGCGATACTTCGACATTCGCGCCCCGGTCCAGAGCCGATCCGGCGGTCTCACCTACAGCCCGCGCGGGGCCTACAAGTGCAACGCCGATGGTGTCCGCCAAGTCAAGTGGTCGCCCAAGGACGGCTTCTACTTTGCCTGCGGTACTGAGTCTGGTGTTATTCTGAAGTGGGACGTGCGGAAGGTCGCCCAGCCACTGCTCAAGATACCCGCCCACGATAAAGCCTGTGCCTCGATATCGTGGCATCCCGATGGCAACCACCTGATCAGTGGTGGCTGGGATAGCAAATGCGCAGTGTGGGACATGTCCAAGAACGCCGACAAGCGGCAGAAGCCGAAATGGCTCATATACACTCCGGCACCCGTATCTGTTGTTGCCTGGCGTCCCGGCCTTTGGTCAGCGAGCGCCCAGGGGAAGCGTGCCGCCCAGGTGGCCGTCTCCTACGACGACGGGAGCCACAAACGTTTCGGAATCAACAGCGTGCATATCTGGGACTTGGCCAGGCCTACCATGCCCTACAAAGAGATCGACCAATTTGGCTTCTCTCCCTCGGGTTTGCTCTGGCAGAACCAGGATCTCCTCTGGACCGCCGGCAATGACGGTTTCTTCAACCAATGCGACGTCGCCTTCGCCCCGAAGGTACTTGATCGACAGCCAGTATCTAGTATGGCCTTCTCAGCTCGTGGTGACGCCGTCTTGTTTCTCGATGAGCGACCGCAGGATCGGCCACGACCCTCAATCATCCATCATCAAGCAAGCGTTGTGCCCCCACGCACATCCTATAGTTCGAGCCCAACGGCCCCAATGCTCAGTATCAGCCGCAGCGACTCTGAAGAAGACGTCGTCGGTAGCTTCTTGGGACCGCGTCGCAGAGTTGGCCGAAAACGGAGACACAGTCTGCGTTCCGTCCCTGTTCTGAGCACCACGCCGCCTTCTGGATCAGGCATCAGTGACGATCTCGTCTTGGGCTTAGAACAGGCCATGAAGGTGACTGGCACCTACAAGACACAGCAGTCCATGGCGGTGGGTCACATTCCCGCGGCGGCACGAGTCGACATATACGAATACCTATCCAGCTGCTATCTCGAAACCATGGATCGTGAGCTTCCGTACGTCGCCAATGGACCGCCACTCAGCAAGAGAGTTTGCGATATTATGGAGCAATACGCGCGTGCGGCGGAACATGTCAACCAATTCCGTCTCGCCCAGACATGGCGAATCCTGGCGTATTCGATGAATCTGCTGTTGTCCCGACGGGCTCAGTTTCACCTCGAAACTCGCCTGGGTCGGTTCCAGAAGCGGCCATCCGTTGTAAAAGCGAAAGATATCCCGAAAATACGGGTGCCTAGTGCGTTGGAAGTTGTCGTGGAGATAAATGGTGAAGAAACACCAAGGAAACCATCGACCCATGTCTCTAATAGCGTCGACGGCAAGTCTTTAGGGCCTCGTTCATTGCTTTCGGAAGAGATTGAGAGCACCTCTAATGTTACAACACCCATTGCAAGAGCTATCAACGGGGAAAATACCAACATGGGTGATTTTTCATCCGAGGCACAGCTACCGCCAGTCATGGAATCGGACGGTTTTGCTTTGCCCCCCGCAGCTCACAGTATGTTTAACGGGAGTACAAGGAGGCGACTGGATTCGGTTCCTTTGTCTACCACAAGCCATGAAAGCGATGGCACACAGATCTCCATCACAGAGGGATACGACTTTTATGATACTGACGCACTATCCCAAGCTATAGATGTGCCTGAGCCAAAGAACAAGGAGCAGAAACCTCTAGACTGCGGGCCCCGCACCCCTAATAGCCGACGCACACTGAGGCAGGACTCTGATGGGAGTTTTGCACAGATTTTCTCCATGTCGGAGAACAGTCGACAGACATCTGGCTTGGCTTCCTCTTCCGAAGCGGGTACATCAGCGTCTACGCGATCGCTCGCCAGGTACCCTGCGCAGCTCAAAGAGCAAAGAGGAGTCACAGACCAGGGTGAATACGAGAGTCGCATCCGTGGCAAGGAACTTGAAGACTCGCCTGAGCATGGTGCCCTGACGGCACTTCACGGCCCGGGGGCAAGCCTTCCAAAGGATTCGCCCGAAGAGATCTTCATGATTTCCCAGACAACCATGACATCTGATACAGCTACTGACGATCCATCAACACAATCACAGCCGGAGTCTCTCCCGGCGGCTTACGGAGACCACGCCCCTCTCCACATCGGCGTCTCATCTTCAACCCCGCCGAAAATCACGCCGGCCCTTCAACATGACTCTACGCCGACCATTCTCGACTCCGACTACTTTCCCTGGCCGGAAGATCCATCATACCCGCATCCTGTTGCGAACGATCCAGACGCGGATTATTCCCCGCCACTGAACCCTTACACTCTTATAAACAGAGCCCTGGATTTCGAGACGCGGACGTCCGCACTCAACGCCTCTGCCATGGTCCTCCTCTTGAAGCCCCTCGTGCCGGAGTCCGTCATTGACCCGGTCCGCGCGACATCAATCCTCCGCCAACACCATTCGCGCCTTGCAGGCATGAAGCTTTTCATCCAGGCCGCCCTCCTCCGCAAACTCTGCGTTCGGGGATGGCCGGAGGGCATTCCCGAGTGGGGAGAGAACTACACATCCATCTTCGGTCCAGCGCAGCAAGGCGTCAAAGGGGGGTTCATGTGCCCCAACTGCCGGAAACCCAGAGAACTCGACCCGTCCCTCGGCGAGAAGGCTCTCTGGAAATGCGAGCGGTGCCGCGCGACAATGGCCCCATGCGCCGTCTGCGGCCACCGCGAGACCACGGCGGCGGCGCTCTCCGTCGCCGACGGCATCGGGGGCGCCCAGCCTGCAGACCCGATCATGAGCACATGGTGGTACTGCCCCGGCTGTGCCCACGGCGGCCATGCCACGTGCTTGCAAGACTGGCACGCCCCCTCGGACGATGGGACGTATAAACTCAGCGACGGGTGTTGTCCCCTTGACGGCTGCGGCCACGCCTGTCTTCCTGGTAAGTGGCGCGAAGAGAAGTCGGTGACGCGATCAGACGAACTGGGCCGCATGGCCATGGAAAAAGTACGCGTCGGCGGCAGTGGCGGTGTAGCAGGAGGAGGAGGAGGAGGTGGTGGTGGTGGTGGCGGCGGCGCCGGCGGAGGCAAGTCGGGCGCGCCGAGCCCTGTGATGCCGCCCAACGTCCGCGGCGACAGCATCGAGGTGCCGCAGAGCAGGGCCGTCGAGAGCGTCCGCGAGTCGCTGGCGAGCGGCGCGTCGACCTCGGGGATCCTCAGCTCCAGCCCGGGGAGCCGGTCGGGGGAACGGGAAAGGAGGAAGAGCGTCAAGTTCATGCCGACGGAGCGCTAGTGGCGCGTCGGCATGTTCCTCGGGTCTCTGTAGATGGACGCGACCACATGGAACGAGAGACATGCTTGCCATCTCTCTCTCTCTCTCTCTCTCTCTCTCTCTCTCTCTCTCTCTCTCTCTCTCTCTCTCTCTCTCTCTCTCTCTCTCCCCCCCCCCCCCCCCTTCTTTTTCATTTCATGCGGCGTTGAACGGAAGAACGGCTCTTTCTTTTCATGGCATTGGCATCCAGGCAAAAAGAGGGACTAGGTACGGATTTATTCAATTCGGGCGGGAGACATGAGGCGTTGAGGTTGACGACTGGGAGGAGAAAGGCGATTCCCCACCCCTGACAACAAGACTCGATTACAGGATTAGCATTTTATTATGGCGGCGACTTCACGCCGGGGTATCTCAACAATGAAACCACGTAACCTAATCAACTCTTGCCCATCCTGGTTTTTTATTCTCGTGTCCAACTCCTGGCGACTGCGCCTGTGCATGTGCATATGGCTTACTTACCCGCGTTCTCCCTCATACCCTTGGTCCTTAACGAGACGTTGACCTCGTCGAATGGTAGCCCCGCGGGTCCACCGTTGCCATTGTGGTGGGGGCTTTTGTCCACAGGCGATTCGGCCCCCTCGCGGACAGTCATGGCCCTCCGGAGCTCGTCCCGCTGTCGGCTGAGCACCTCGCTATCAGTGCTACCGCGGCGGCTGCCGCCGATGCTGCTCGTATCCCCGTCACCGCCCATGACAGCTGACGAAGAGATGCGGCCTCTTATCCGGCCGGCCCAGAGACCGCGGACACCGCCCCTTTTGCGTTCGGGGACCTCATCGCTTCCAGCGCTGCAGACGTAGAGGAGGTACTTGAGATTCGGCAGGGTGTGGCGGATGTCGACAACTTTCAGCCCTTGGCTTGCGCAGAGGACCTCGATGTCCTTATTGAGGATAAACCAGCCGTAGTCAAATCGATACTGCGCTGCGGTAGAGCCGCCTCGGGGGAGGTATAAGGGGAAGTCGCGTTGACGGGCTGCCTGCGTCGAGTTGAGGTCGGTGAGCAGGGATATGTCGTCGCGGATAGACGAGCGTGAGCCGAATGGCGTTACGGGGTATGGTAGCGGTACAGAAAGGTAATACTGCAGAGCGTTCGTCAACGCGGCGACGTAGCCCAGGGCCCCGGACAAGAGGTCGTCGTCCGGGCCGCGGGAGGTGGCAGTGTCATATGTCGTATTCGGAAGGGCAAGGCCCGCGATTTGGAAGGATAGCGGAGTGCCCGAGGGGCATGGTGTGATCTGGTAGATGTTGCTAAGGTCGGTGCAGATGCGTCGGCGTTGCCCGCGGATTTGTTCCTTCGTCTTAGCCAGCACCGCCTTCGATGCTTCCAGATGCTCTGTTGCATCAAGGATGTCCTTTGCGAGCTTATCCTGCAAGGCACGACCCTGGGCGATGGCCTTCCTCCGCGATTGGAGCGACGCGCGCAGCTCTTCACGCCGCTTTTCGGCAGCCTTTAGAGCCCGCAGCTCATGCGCCACGTATTTGTTGGCCAGCTTCACCTTTTCTTCAGCGGCAGGCGTCTCGTTATGGGGCGTATCTTCGAGTATGTTATTGATTTGAGCCGTCAGCTGCTCTTGTGTCGCGATGGCGTCCTGGATCGAGGTGTCCAACGTTGAGAGTTTCATGAGCGCGTTGTAAGAGGATGTATGGAGCGGCGGGACGTATTTCGGATGGAAAGACTTTCCGAGGAAATCGAGCGAGTAGATGCCGTCGGCAAGATGGAAAATGAGCCCGTTCGGAGGGAACTTGCGGTTCTGGAGGGTGCCGATGAAGTGCAGGCTTCGAAGGTCGACAGTGTCTTGGAGCAAGAGGGTCCATGATGCGCGATGCGCCCAGATCTTGATGGTGACGACTGGTGACCGAGTGACCGAGGGACCATGGTGGTTGAGGTCGAAGAATTGGAAGTTGAAGTTCTATTGGGTCGAACATTAGCTGGGAGGCGGTGGGTGACGGCAGGGTCCGACAGCTTACAGTGGCATGCTCCTTCATCTCGCTAATGTAGACAGGCTCGTCCTCGCCATCGCAGTGCAGCGAAAAGAAGACATCTGCGGCCTTACCATCGATGGTGAGCTGCAACATGCGCTGTCGCGTGACCGGGGTGGCCTGAGCAAGAGCGGTGCTTCGGCGGCGCGGCGCCTTGGGCCGGAAGTTGTCACTAGAGAGTGCATGGTGGAGCTGGGGGGCATCGCGGAAGCCTTCAAGCTTGGACGATGACTTATTCAAGGCGGTATCGTCGAAGGTCTGGCCTCGGGGTCGAACAAAGCTGAGGTTTCGGAGGTAAATCCCACGGAGGTGGCGGAGCTTGCGGTTCTGGGGGAGGAGGAGGGGCCGGGACTCGGGAGGAGGCATCGTGACGTGCGGCTCAGGCTCAGTTCATGGCGCTATTGAGCAGCTTACACGTAGAGGGAGGTGGCTGCTAATGAGACCGTGTCGCATCCGACTCATGTGTTGACAAGGGTGCCGTGAACAAGGGCACGTTGACCTTGCCTTGAGGGGTTGCGAGGTCGTGTTGTGATGGTGTTGGGATTACAAGAAGTGACAGACATAATGGAGCGCGAACCATGGTGCTGTCACTGCTAGGAATAGAAGGCCTAGTCAGTGAGTGCAGTGCACGGGCGTTCTTGCACTTTTATTCTCAAGGCAGCTTCGGTGGCAGGAGCTCCTGCTGTGCTCCCTGCTGTGTTTTGTGCTGTTGCTGTGAAAGCGGGGCACCACCCCCATCATCACCCTGATAGGCGCATCTATGGGGTATATCTTTTACAGAACCCTTATAAGCATAAATATGCTTCTCCGCTCTAATGCATTGATACATCTCTCCAATTGGTATACATCTTGTCCTTGACCAGGGCCGCATCTTGGCTTTCTGATATGGCCTAGCGCGAATCGTACAAGATGCCGGGCCCCGATCCGCCGGGCCAACTTTTACTAAGCTTGATGTTTCTGCGTAGCGATTCCCTTTCTACGCGCCTCACCTAGCCCATTGGACCACTACCTACGCCGCTTCTCTTATCCCGATCACCCTCCACACTTGTCGGACCGATCAGTTCGGGGTGCGGGCGGGTCGCCGCCCGGGTGTCTCGTTCGCCTACCGATAGATTTGGCATCTTACATGGTTCCTGGCGGCAGGCTTGCAAAGGTCCAGCTACTTTGTCGCCAGCTTGATTGATCGCTCCGCCTCCTCGGAACACGTAATCGCTGGCTGGCAGGTGCCCGAGCGCAGAGAACTTGGAGAGGGCCACCCTGCTTGTTCGACCTGTTTCCGGTCGAAGTACGGATACAGTTGCTGCATACGTCACTGGCGAACCGAGCTTTCGCCCAGCGAGTCAACCGCTGTCCCTCTGGCTTTGGATGGCAACTGCGGCTGGCAGCTCTACCGCCCCTCACGCTCAGAGACAATCGACTCGCTTATCCGTCTCACCATCAAGCCTGCGGGCCATGGATGAACCGCCTTCTATGGCTTTCGCCGTCCCGTCTTCGGCTGAAAGACATTGAGGAGGCAGTAAGCCAGCGAGCGAGCCACTGGAAGACTAGACGGCAGAGGCGCATTAAGTCTTTGGTGTACGTCACGAAGATCGAGCAGTACGGCATTCGGTCCCTCATTTCCACGTTGATGTTGCAATTAAAGCCCCGTCCATCCCCCGCAACGATACTAGCTGCACGAAGCTGTACTACTCTGCAGTTGGCTCGGCAGAGCCAAAACACGCACAATGGAACGGTCATCAGCCCCACTGCATACTCTCTATTTGAGTCGAGATAACGACGACGCAATCACAATCAACCTCGTCAGGCCCAACGGGTGCATTGCTCCCTTTTACAGCGTCAGTCACAACGGAAAGATGACCAAGATGGAAGTTCGGAGGATCAGATGCGACGCCGTCTCCACTCAACACCGTCCCGTCGGCTCGATCAAGAGTCGTATGTTACCGCCAAGACTCGATGTCGCCGTACGAGGAGTCAATTTCAAAATGACACGGAAGCACCCCCTATCGAACGCCCTTAGCTTCCGCTTCTTGGGCGTGGGGGAGATGCGCTGGGAAGAGCTGGGCAAGCAGGGCAGAGGCATGAGACTGGTAGACTTCAACGGCAAGACACTGGCACACTTTCGCCCGAAGTTGCATATGCTGGGTGCGGGCGGAGTAATTGGGGGGAAGGAAGAGGGCAACCTGCTCGCAGGCGGGCTGGAGGGCGTGAACAGGGCCGCGCGAGGTCCGGGCTTCGAGTTGCACAGCGCGCTTGCAGATCTTGATATGGACCTGATTGTTACAACCGGCTTGGCGGCGGCAGAGCACCGTCGGCAGTTGGACGAAGGCTGGGATATGGAAGCCGACGAGGCACAGGTTAAGGACGAGAAACCCCGGCAGATATGAGTCCGTGAGGATGTGCTGCGGCAAGTTACTTGGTGAAAGGTGTTCATTACTCGGCCATGCGCCTGAGCGCGTTTATACTATAGTTGTTAGTATTCTATACCCTTGCTGAAACAAGAATGATGACTGGTTGGTATCTTCCTTCCGCCCCAAAATCCAGGCTTTATTCCCAATCCGCGGTCGCTTGCTTAGACACGCCGAACGAAACAAAGTTTAGTTGTGCCTATGAACGCTAGATTCATGATTCAATGATTACCGCGCTAGCAACTGAGAATCCCCATCTGAGTGCTTCTGCCGCTTCATCCCTGATCCCACGTCTTGTACCTCGGATTCAGAAAGCACAAGTGTCCCTTTGTTTCTCGGGAAGGTGACTTGCCGCTTCCCGTCCGCCATGGCGGCCAGCTGGTCGGCAATGTCTATCGGCGTCAGCGGCAGGTCATCGGCATGTGGCGTTCCGGGCAGCTCGCGGAACAGGTCCTTTCCGGCATGGGGTATCGAGCTCCGTGACTGGGCCGTGGTGATGACTTTGCTCGTTTCCTCGCTGCCGGAGAAGAGGTTGAGGCTCTTTTGCAGCAGCGGTCGTAGAGGCAGGAAACTCGCGCAGGCCATGACACAGAACACCTTGATAAAGGACCAAATGACAACGTCGACGTTGTCCCACGTCTTATCGAATGTGCTTGAACATATTGCTAAATACTTTAGTCTGATCATTGTCGTGATGCAGGCACTATGCTCATGTTAGCAAGCGTTTCGGTCACGAATCAGTAGAGATTCTGGTGTAAAACGAACAATACTCCCAGACTGAATATGAAGCTCAACGCCATCTTATTCCGGGTGTCGATTTGGAGTTTCACCAACTCGGGAATCGGTAGTAATAAAATTAGGAGTTCCTCGCCGAGGTTGACACCGGCCGCAGAGTACCCAATGGCACTAACGTTTAAACATGTTTGATCCCGGTTGTTTCTGTTCCATGTGGACGATATTGGGGTACACTGGAAGGCAGTGGCTAGCACAGATGCGACGCCGTGGAGCATCAGGACGATGACGAGGGACCGAACGGTGAGCTGAAACCATCGTGCCGAAAGGATGCGGGACAAGAACAGCAGAATGGAGATCTTCGCAAAGACCTGTACCAGAATGTATAACATCTGGTTTGCGTAGAAGAGATGGGCCAATTTCCTGCTGTTGGCGAACTCGATATTCCAGTAGTGCGTTCCGAAATCCAAGGCAGCGCTGGCGATCTCGATACCCGCCATTCCAGCAAGCAGGATCTGGTGCCCGTTAGCCTTGAGTTTCCCAGCAAAGGTCGCTTTGGCGCTCGGAACTGACCGCTGCCACCACTGCCGTCCAGTCGTCCCACCATAACCGGCCGGTGGTCTTCCATCCCGAGAAGCATCGCAGACCAACCATCGGAAACGTAAGGGTCGGGAGGACGACGGCTACCGTCATGACTTCGTGACTCCTCGACTCTTTCGGATACGCGGCACAGAGGTTCGTCTCGAGCTTCGCAGCACCTTCCCTGCTCGTCAACGCTGACTTGCACAACACATCGACGACAACAGACTTACGTGCTTGGTCTTCTAGGTGACAGCTGAGTTGCACACAAGTTGACAATGAAGATTGTAGCGGGATGTTAGGGCATAAGCACTCGGCGACAGTGATTGTCGATGTCACGGTGCAGTTTCCGGCTGAGAGAACCTCAGTCACGCACGGAAGCTATCGTAGAGGCAAGACCCAGTCAGCCCTCCGTTCAGAGATATCTTGGCCAGGTCCCCACATAGAGCACGAGGAATGGATTCAAGGAAGATGCAGTGAAGAAGAACAAGGAAGGCTATCGGTTGGAAAATGGAGGGCATCCGCCTCGACGACTTACAGCGCAATTTGGTACTTGCGAGAGCAGCTCCGTAATGCCTTGCGCCTCAACTAAGGGGAGCCAGCACCACCAATGAAACAACAGTAGCGAGCTTCCGCCAAACTGTCTCGAAGTTCTCGCCATCTCCTAGATGTCCTGCGTGGAAACATGTAGAGAGACGAGCAAAATACGAGACCATAACGCAAAAGGCGGCCAAACGAGGAGAGACGAGCAGATCCGGAGATCGTGGGCTGCATGCGCCTCTCTCTCCTTTAGTATGGGCTCAAACCTCCTCTTATCCGAAGACGGATGTCAGGAGAAGATGAAAAGCAGGGGCGCCATAGCGAGCATTGGACCCTTCCTCCTTGCCAAATTGCCGCGGCCGACATCAAGATCGGGGAAGCACCATGAACCATCTTGCGTGCGCACATACACGTCCAAACACACGGCAACCCTCGGGTACGCCTTTGAGCCGTGTTTGCCAAATGGATCCCTGCCCTGTTGGTATTCCCTGCCCTTACGCTGGACACGGGGAACTTTCCCGGCGAGGTGCGCAAGGCGTGTCAGCGGCTCCGGGACAGATTTGCCAGCAGGGAAGTGTGGGCACGTTTGGGCTCCATGACTAAAAAGAGCCAACATACTATGTAGTTATGTGGATGTTCATGACGCACGTTTCTGCATGGACCCTGGCAGGCAATTGTTTGGCCAGAAGCCGCTGTCAATGCGTCTAGAAACGGCCTTCTTCCCGCCGATAGTCCGGCTACTTCCCGCTCTTCTCAGTTTAATGGCGAGGGGAGTCAGAAGAAGCCGAACGGGAGCCTGGAAGGGCCTGCGTGCTCAAGACGAAGCCAAAACAAAGGACGGCACCCTGCCGGCGCGTGAGGGTTGCGTCGGGATGTGGGCGAAGGGGGCACGCCTTCGAAGATTACACTCGCCCCCTAAAGAGCTGTATCGCGTTCGAGGGCACCGCAAGATTCGGACGAGGGGACGTTCTGCGCCCACTTGGGTGACAAAAAAGATGGACGGGGGCCGGCCGTATGGTAGTGGTAAGGAAAACCGGCCATCTTCTTTGTCGCCCGGGTGGCGCCACATCCCGCGCAACGCACATTTTGCAAATATCTTTGACCGAGAAGGTTTCAAGTGCAGGACGGTGGGGCTGGAACAGAAGATGGCAAGCCGACTGCCTCGTGTTGCTCGTGGCCCCAGGATTACAGCGATGATGGGAATACCGGTAAACCCACTTTCCGCAGAGTAACGGACGAAGACAGAACTCCATGATATTATTCGATGACTCGCGGAATCAGTTGATTCACTTGAGCGTTATTCCCCATATTTCCGCACCTTATTAACAGTCTCCTGAATCGAGCAAAAACCTTATCAGACGGCAGTTCATCGGCCATTTTCCGTTCTTCCAAGATCCCAGACTCCCGGTTCCATCTTTACCATGTCAGTGTCTTTACTGCAGATACCAATCTTCGATGGGCTCTGCAAGTTTCCAGTCCTGCCTCCACTTGGACCCCAAATCAAGTCCTTCTAGAACCCCCAAACCTTGAGTTTAATGGAAACGACACACCGTTGTCCTCAAACAGTCGTGCGGACGCAGTATGGCCCCAGCTTTACATAATTAGTGTACAATAGTAGGGTTCCCTTGTGCCGAACGACATCAAACCATGGCCGAACTCAGTTCCAATGATCTCTAGTGCCATCCTCTCGTCAGTCCCATGCAGATTGCACTGGGATCATCCGGCATCTGGGTGCTGCTAAATGTCGATGTTTCTCGCTTTGTGTGTTCCGCCCACCGGCTAGAAGACCGCCAGTGAAGCAACTTGAACCCATGACATCTTGTTGGGCATAGCTGTGAAGTGCAAATAAGTTCAACCGTTGAGAAACCCGGATTCATGTTGAAAAGCCTGACTTTGTTTCATCTCTCTTGGGCAGGGTTTGCTATTACTATTACAAGGCTTCATTGGACTGGTATGTCTGCTTTTTTAGTTTGCTTGTCCTTTTGCCACTCTGCGATGGAAATGAGCCAGGACAAGGAGTATGATAGAGTTTGGAGAGTTCTCGCCGAGCCGCTTCCGATCCCTTGGCGTCCTAATGGATGCCTTCCTATCGGGTTCACCTACCAGGGGAATCCTCGCAGTTGAGACACACAGACGGCGGTTGCTCTGCCCATCCTGTCCGTCGCTTCGTTCTCGTACAAGTTGAGGTGCACTCATTCATGCATTTCCAAACCAAACAATCCGCCGAGGATGGTTCATCAAATGACCAGAACCAGTTTGCTTTGTTGGATTGGTCGCTGTGGAATCGACTTTGATCATTGTCGGCTTCTCAGGGTCTGGGTTGCAGAGACCCTCTCCTTCCCCTGTTGCGCGTTCGTTTCACCGACTCAAGGCGGGAGGTCTTCGCCTCTTTTTCTTCTTTTTCTCAATGTTCAACCTGCGACTCTCTCAACTCCAAAGGTCAACAAATGGGCCCCGAATCTTAATTCCTAGGTTTAAGATCGGGTATCGGCACAACAACGAGTCGGTACCGTTAAACTCCGCATAGCATTCTCTCTTGTGCTTAGGCCTGGCAGAGAGAGGTCGATCATGTTGGGGTTATTATGTCTGCCAATGCCGGCTGTAAAGATGCCAATACATGAAGATGAGCCGAGACCACATGTAGATACATAGAAAAAATAATTAATGCTTCCGGACTGCATGGCCAGATTGATCGGAAGCCGCAACGAAGAAATCCAGATTGCACACATCTTTTATAATGCTATACCGAGTATCTGCTCCGCCTTTGACAACCGGGACGTTCTATCCCAGGTCCGGATGGGTGCTTCATGTTCTAGCCGCAACCAGTGAAAGTCAGACCTAAAATCTGGATTCCTCGTGGACTCGAGCGGCTGGTCTTGCCACGGGGTCGCCATCGGCCTGATGACACGAATTGCGGCTATACGGTTTTGGCGAGTTCTTCTTCTGAAGGCTGCGAACCGGGACGACCTTTCTCTTTTCTGTCGAGCTTGTTTCCTGTCGCGAGAACATTTGGCAAAAACCGGAATGATCGCGGGCACCGAGCTGCATACGATTCCAACTGTGCACTCGGCGATTGAGCACAATACCCATGAGGTCCAATGGTCTAATTCGGCGAGTATTAGTACATGTCAAGGCTACGTCTGAGTCGGATATTATGCATCTCGAGACTACAACTTACACGGCAAATCAGCCTGATTTAGGAGCTGCAAATAGGGCATCTTGGTAATGGCGGCCGCACATGAGCTAAGCCTTCGTCAGTCGGATTCTGCGCAACCATCAATGGTAGGGAACTTACAGGCTAGCAAATATGAATAGAACCGTCACACGGATTTTCTCACCCAAGGGTATATTCATCCTCAAGATGTACGCTAAAGGCATGGTGCACAGCAGTGCATCTATGGCAATGTTGATGGCCGTGCTGGCCTGGAGAAAGCTGAGAAAGGGGTAGCACGATGCACCGCTAACAGTCGAATCCCAAGCTGCGGAGACTGGGGTGCATTGGAAGATGACGGCAAACACGGATGCCAAGGCAAAGGCGCCAGTCAGGACCGCCGTCGCACACAGTACCCATCGCGCATTCCTCTCTGTGATGAGCCTCAGAAATGAGCATACTATCGATAATCGTGCAAATGCGACCGCGCAGGGGTATAGGATGTTCGCGATGAAGAGAAGCTGCCAACGCTGTTAGCCACCGACCAGCAAAGCTTCCGTGGTCTCTTTAGATCCCCCACCTGAAGCAGGTTCTTCGTATTTTCGACCAAGACTCCGGCGTCGATGTCTGAAGAATGTTGACCAAGACCGAAATCGGTGGCTAGAATGCTCGTTAACTTGAGACTCTCAACATAAGAATGGCGGGATGGGCTATTATGTTGCGCATCCATGAGCATACCCAATGGAAGTAACGAGCAGATCCCAAAGGTGAAGAGTGCCGCAATAATGACCAATACATCGTCGCTGAAAAAGTCGCGCGTCACCGTGCAGCGGACGATAATCCGGAGGGGGACGGTGAGGCCGACCAGGACGAATGCTGTAAGATTAACCCCCCAAATAATGGCCACCAAATTCGTTGCACCGCTGGTCTTGACCTCGCTCGAAACCGCGTCCAGCCCGGACCCAGTTGCGTTTCCGAAATCCATGGTGACGAAAGGGTCTATCAAAACGTAATAATATTTACTGAACAAGCATCGCGACATTCAATGTCAACATAGAGAAACGAAGTCGAGTAAGTGTGTTGCAGACAGGGCATGCGCCGGTCGTATTGAGGGAATAGCCGACATTTCTACTCTGATGGTCGTGAGCATCGACAGCCACACTAGTTTCACGAGTGTTGTTTTTTCCTCTTCCCCTTGGCGCCGCGCAAAGACAGGTCAAAGAAACCTTACCGCCGACTGAGTCTCCATGTCAACAAGCCGGAGCTAGCCAGGACGGCAAACACTCCCTATAAGGCGCGTCTTGGGAACATAAGGGTGTACGTGCCATTTTCATGCTGCAGCAGTCGCACGCTATTGAACTCCTCAGTCTCTTGTCAAGGACCAAAGTATCTATACGTCAACAGTTAGGTTCATGCTAAGCTTTGCTGGTGTATTTTGATTTAACGACAGAATGATGCATAAAAACTACATCATCCCCTTGTAAGACCCCGCGGCTGGACACGATCGAAACAAGATTATTGCAGGCCCAACAACAAGTGGTCGCCACCCAGGTCGAGGCGCGCTCGTAAAGGGGAACCACGGACGGGACAAATTTAGAAACTCGACGCTAATCCGCCGTTGACCAACAAACTTGAACACTCGGGTCTTAGGCCGGTCATAAAGCAGGGCTAGTGCCTTTGTTCCCGCAACTAAGCCTCAACGCTTTGATGAGCTTCTACCGTATCCACTCGTTAGATTCACAAACCGCCCAGACTACCCACTAAGCCTATTTTGAAAGGCGGTCAACCAACCCACCCACCAACCCACCCACCCACCCACCCACTTGCCAGCCAGCCAGCTAGCCTACAACTTACAACCTATAACCCATTAACCTGTTATTTATGATGCCTAACCGCTAGCCGCTAGGTAATATTAACCTAAATATTACACTAGTTACACTACTGTTACGCAAGAAAATAGGCAAAAAACCTACACCTATTGCTAAGCGACAATATATAGTAACTAAGTTAATTAAGCGAGTTGAATGGTTATATAGGCGCTAAAGGCAGGTTAAGGTCTTACTATACCTTAAGTACTACTGCTGCCCTATAGACCCTAGCTAATGGCAACAGTAATGGCAATAGGCTAGTGATACCCCTTTGGACCCTACTAACAGCCTCTGCTGCCTAACCCTTAGTAAGGCCACTACCTACTTTAAGATACTATTAGTAACAGTAGCTACTTAGTATTATATACAAGATACTATTATTACCTTAACTGTACACTATTAACTAAAGTAGCTAGTAATAGAAGCTAACCTCTATAGTTACTTTTAGTAATAATAAGCCTATAATAACATTATTACTACTAGATAGTTTAAGCAGGAGGCCAAGGCCCTTTTTGCTGCTATATACCCTAACGCCCTTATTACTAGTAAACCTCTAATGTACTTCTTCTAATTCTCTCTAGGCTAGTTTAGTAGCTTTTTTATATAATAGAATATTTTAAACTACTAGCTTATAAAGTAAGCCTTAAAGCTATTTACTAAATACTTTACTATTATTACTAACTTCCTCTACTTTAACTAATAAATTAGCTAGCCTTTACTTACCTAGTAGTAACTGCCTATTAGTGGCCTCTAATTTTTACCTAACTATATTATTAACTTTAATAAGACCCCTATACTTTTTAAGTACCTTAATAGGTTAACGTAGGCAGCTAGAGGGGCCTATACTATAGCTAACAAGACTAACTATAGTAGCTAAAGTAAGTAATAAGCTACTCTAATCCTCTATATCTTTGCTAATAGGGTTTAATAGCTACTGCCTAAGTTAATTTTTTATAGTAGGCCTACTAACGTAGGTAGCTAACTTAAGGTATATAAGAGTAACTTATATAGTAAAAAGGTAATAGTTAAATATAATAATATAGCTTATAATAACAAGTACCTTCTTAGGCAGTAGCTAACTAATAAATTCTTCCCTTTTATAGTAAAGTAAGAATACCTCTTAGTTATAGACGTTACTACCTTTTATAAGACCCCTGTAATACTATTATAACTTTACTTTAATTATATTACACTTAGCCTTATACTGCCTAGTATAACTTCCCTTCTTTAACCTCTTAATACTGCTGTTAATAAGCCTTTTAAGCAGTAGTTATCTAAAGTAATAGACAAATATATATAGTAAATAGAGCAAGCTGCTGCCTACTAGCCTAGCCTACTTATTAAGTAGTCTACATTAATAAAACACATTATAGTTACCTATACTATTATAATAGCTACCTGTTGCCTAGCTAAAAGAGGTAAAATAGTCTAGTAATCCTTTCTTTAGTGTAAAATTAGTAGTAATCTAGATAGAAGTAATATTAATAAGATTTAGATAAAGGATATACTAAATAAGAAGATATTATAGGATAGTTAAGATAACTTTAACTATAATACCTATATTAAGAAGGAAATTACTTAAAGTAATAAAGAGATACCTAACGTTAATATAAACAACAACAGTAAAGAGTATATATCTCTAGTTAAAGACGTCTAGCAACCTATTAGAGATAGTTTAACAAGGCCATAGGAGATCTAGAGTAGGAGGGAGAGAGGAAATCCAATACTAACCATAAGTCTATTTGCTAGCCTTTGCCACCTAACTTGCTGCTGACGTACATGACTAACCCCTGCATTTGCTACTTCTAGATCCCTGTTTCTGCCAGCCCGCTAGCCCTTATCCAGCAGCCCGCGGTCAGTGCGGTTTGTGAATCTAACGAGTGGATACGGTATGACCGTAGCCTAGATACAGCACTAGGCGCGGCCGGTTTGCCGTCTTGGGGCATCGTGACGGTCATGCTGCGTGGCGACAGGATTCTTTGTGAGCAAGCGTTGATAAAAGTTGGGGGTGTTTGTTTCGGTGGCTTATTGTTGAGCTAGACGTAGGACGTGTTCCATTAAAATCTTGGGACTAACGGGAGGAGTCGTGGTAAGATAGGTCAGATGAGATTGAGAAATGATAGAAGTCCATTATTGACCAGTAACTACGCGGAAATGATTTTGCTATACATATCATCGAGAATAATTAGGATCTAGCATTTCAAGAAGTATTGGAAATGCATCTGTCTATAAGTGACTACTCCCTTCGTTCGTCATCAGTCACTAGCATGCCAAAAACCTCCCGGGTGTACTTTTTCGGAAGTGCCTAGAGCTTTGTTGTCTAATCGAAGAATAAATGTCAAGCTGTTTTGAAAAATACCACTCGCAATGGAATATCAACTGAAAGAACAAGTTTCAATATTACGACATCGGACTTACAGTCCTTAGATAGTGCCATTTGATTACCACTTCTTAAGCGGTGCGAGCCCAATCTCGGTAAGATACTTGTTGACTTCAGTAGTAGTATTATCCCACATCCCTCTGACCTGCTCCATATCTTCAAAAACCGGATTCGGCGTCACAACCTCGCCAAAGGGTTCTAGATATTTCCCCTTGAACTTTTCGGGGTTCTCGCGCACTTCGCGCGCTGTGGCCGCGAATAGAGATGTCGCGGCACCTTGATCCGTGGACAAAAAGAAAGTTGATCTGACAAGCGAAAAGAGCGAATTTCCGATGTCCTTGTTTCCCTCGCTGGCCACGCCACCGGGATGAACTGAAATGGACAAGATCGGGAGGCCTTGCTCGTCCATCAGTCGCTGAAGCTCCTGGGCAAACAGGATGTTGGCAACCTTGGACACGGCGTACCGAATCATGTCGACGAAGAGAAAATGGCGGAGGATGTACCGCCATTGCCAGGGATAATATGAAAGAGGGCTTTTCAGAAACGACGGAGAATCGAATGTGAAACGGTAGTTCGAAGGCAGGAAGGTGTAGTTAACGCTGGAAGAGAGGGTGATTATCCGCACATCGGCCCCCTTTTGCCTCGTTGCCTCTTTGAGCAGTGGCAATATGCCATTTGTAAAAACAAAGTGGCCAATATGGCTATATCGTGTGAAGTCAGCAGGTTACAACCATGGAACAACAACAACTTGACTCTAGAACATACTTGACTGTCATGTGATATTCCCAGCCGGGGCCTAGTGTGTCTGTAGTTGATGAGACTGCACCGGCATTGTTGACTTCAAGGAGCAGTCGTCAGCAGTGACCCTCGTGTTATATGGATCGGTATAAGACACACTCAGAATATCCACCTTCTTTTCTTTCGACTTCAATTCTGTGACTGCCGCGTCGACGGTTTTCAAGTCGGCCAAATCAAGAGACAACCACCTCAGTTGGTCTTGGTCAATCTCGGGATACTCTGATGTGAGACGAGCACGCGTTGCATCAGCCTTGTCTTTTGTTCTCGTCGTGAAATATACGGTAGCCCTCGAAGAGCCAGAAACTTCACAGTCGACAGTCCGATGCCGGCGCTGCAAATGAAAAGTGAGAATGGACACTCGAATGGCTTCGGTTGGGGCAAACACACTTGCTTCCAGTCACGACGGCCACCTTGCCTTGGAGCGGAGGCATGTTAGCCAGGGGTTGACCCCAGCTGTTAGGCATCTTGAGCTTTGGTACGCGGCGAAACGATGACTCGCTAGGGTGGATTTTCGAAGACTGCCAAATGCAGGCTGATTTGTTGAATCAACACATGAGGTACGGTACTTGAACCATCCGTTCCGGGGCGATCCCTCTTCAAATATGGAAATTGAACGCGCTCTCGACGACGACTTTCCAGGCAGCATCCCCGTTGCTCGGCAATCAGTCCGCGGGCCGACGGCCGAATAGGACCCCCGGCCAAAGACCCTTGGTTTGGTTACACTCAGCCGAGAGAGAGCATTTTCCCTATTAGGAATCGCCTACCTTGGCACGGTGGAACCACGTCGCCGAGCTTCTTCCTTGTCATTATTCGAGTGAGAGATTGTTGAATCCGCTCGTCTCAATGTCATCCATTCGAGCACCAGTGAGTGCTACCCGCTTCAGCATCTCGACGGCCACAGGGGAAAAACCACAGGGCCAACCGCCATAAGCAAACTGCTGCGTGTGTCACTCTGTCGAATCCATGCAGAGCTTATCTCCTATCCGTGGAAGACTTGGTCACCATACATAGTATATCCGTACTGGCCTACCTAGTTGAGGAGGTGTGGGGACCAGCCCTGAAAGGAATAGTGTCGACGATAGGCGGGGGTCACGGGGCTGAAGATAACGCCCGACGACCAACCGCTTTCAGCAAATTCATCCCCTTCTTTTCGGTGCAAAGTCCTTGGTCCGTTCTCGCGATGCACGACATTCGTTTCCCTAGCACAGGAGCATCCGTATTGTATTAGTAAACATCTGACACTGACACTTCGTCCCACGGTCCACGCTGCGCGATTCAGCCCACCGGCGGCGCGACGAGCCCCGAGGATAATATACCGTACGCCACGTTCGGCGCGGTGCCGCTACCATGTCTTCCGCTAAGGATTCGCGTGACGGCGGTGGCTTCGTCTTCGTCCCCATATCCCATCCAAGCGAATCAGCGGGCTGGAAACGGAAAGTCAGATCTCATGCGGCAAAAGGCATCTGGGCCCGCAGACAGCGGGTTGCCGCCTATCAACAAGCCAACGCCCAATCGAGTTCCCCCTCTGACGGCCAATATCCAGAGGGCACGCCACCCCTCTCGTCAAGCCAGCACCCAAAAGCTTTAACGTTGGTCTCCTGTAGGGGTTCTTCGAAACCGGATCACCGCAATGCTTTCCCGCCCGGTCCCATCTCGTTTCTGAGCGCTGCAAGGACCGATCCGTTCAATAGCTATAATAGGGCTATCGCTCCGTGGGAGAAACGGCTACTTGATCACTGTAAGTAAATGATCCGCCTACACGAGAGTATTTACATAAGGAGTGGGAGGGAGCTGGCGGCGTGTACCCGCAAGTACCTACAGTCATCCTTGTCCCGACTAAAAGCGCCATCCCCGCTGCTGTGATCGATCTATGTATACATTCACGGCTTTGCAAGCTTGTCGCGCACCCCACCCCAAAATGCCAACTGGGGCTAGAATGCTGACAACCTATAATACGTAGTTATGCAATACCTGATCTTAGAAGAGATGGTGTTCATGCCCTCCCTGAACATAGACATTGCGGGCGATAACGTATCGTTCTGGACAAGCATATGTACCTATTTCCTGCAAGCTTCCCTCTCCGACCCTGGAATGCTTGCTACCACCCTACTTTATTCCTGCCGCCACATGGCGGCCAAACAGCGCAACGAAATATTCAGCTTGCAGGCGACCAAATACAGATTGCACTGTATCCAATCTCTCAACCAGACCCTGACGAGAGAAGGGAAGGATATCAGCCAGCTTACCATTGCCAAGACGATAGCTTTAGCCTCAGATGCGGTGAGATGTTTCGCACTCGAACCCGCCATTCACACATACTGATTGATCATGCCGCTTGAAGTACTTCACTGGCGAATATGATGCCGCAGAAAAGCATCTCAAGGCGGTAGGGCAAATGGCTAGGGTAAAGGACGGGGGACTAGACTCGAGCGACTTCCTCGGTAGACTCGTCATCTGGTTCGCTGGTGACGCACAGTCGAAGGATATGATAGGTACGTTAAAGCTCAACTTTGATACGGAAACGGCCCCCGTTACCAAAGTAGACAAGAACTTGGTATATCATGTCAGTGCTCCCGCAAGCCGCGACGGAAGAGATTAAGATATTTAGTCACGAACGAATGGACTCTTTGATTATGCTATGGACTTTTACGCTGGATGCATGCAACCTCTAATGCAACATGACTCACGTGCTTGATCCTAGGAGCCCACGCCCTGAGGATAAGTGAAGAGGCCTTTGGCGTCGTACTTTGTTTTTATGGTCTTTAGCCGCGGCAAATTATCCCTGTAGTACTGGTCCTGCGCGTCTACTGTGCTCAACTGCGAATCGGCGTAGTTTGCGTACCGACCCCAGTCGTTCTTGGACATTGTGTTGGTGACCGAGGACATCCAATCGCCGAGAAAGGCATAGCCAGTCGATGGATACGTGGAGCCGCCAGAGGAGTCGTAAAACTGCCACAGGAGCACCTTGTCGCGGTGCGCGTAGGCGGTCGCCGAGTTCGCGACCTGCGCCGTCTTTGAGTTCCTGCCGCCGTGAACATCGATCAAAACAAACCAGCCGGTTTTTATCGACTTTGCGGTGTTGAGGTAGAAGTTAACGAATGCGCGAAAGCCATCCTGAGATACTTCCTTTGTCAAAAGGCTCGAAGCGTAGAATGTGTCGGTCGCGGATTGCGGGCCCGTTTGGTCAAGCTCCTGGCCGGCGAAATGCTCGAGCTGGCCCATCCAGTCTGTCTCGTTGACAGTGGCACCGCTCACATCGATTCCCAAAGGCGAAAGAAACCGCATCAGGACGTTGCGCGTCTGGGCTTCAGTCCCAAAGTAGAGACCGTCAAAAGCCGTGCTATCCTGGGTGATCACGGCTCGCATGTTCAGCTCGGCGGGCATGTTGCTCTGAGCGTACTGTTGCAGGGAAACGAGCGCCTCAATCAACTTATCCTTCTCGAGAGTGAGCGGTACTGTGTAATATGTGACGACACTTGGCGCGGCGAAGGTGTCGAACTTGAACTCGGTGACGATACCAAAGGACGAGCCTGCGCCACGAACGGCCCAGAAGAGATCACTGTTCTGACTCGGCGAGGCCTTGACTATATTGCCATCGGCAGTGACAACAGTCGCCTCAACGATCCAATCGACCGCCAGGCCATAAAGATGAGAGCTAAATCCGTAGCCACCATGGATGCTGTGGCCCGATACACCGACCCTGATACAAAACCATTAGCTACGGCCTAACTACCCAAACAGGCATATCATGATGTTACTCGCCCTGGACACGAGCCGTGAGAAATAGCCCTGCCACCCTGGTTGAACAACGCCGTCGCAACGTGTCCGAGCCGAGCTCCGGCCTGCACGGTGGCCGTGTTGTCCGCATTCAGCGTGACGCCGAACATCTCATCCAACCGTACCACGACGTGGCCGTCTTCTCCACCGAACCCGGACGACGAGTAGCCGTGCCCGCCGCCGAGGGCAGTGACGCTCTTGCCATACTGGGACGCACATCTCACGGCCGCCTGCACATGGCTCGCATTGGTCGCCGACACCACAAGTGCCGGCTTGAACTGCACGCGAGCGTTGTACGGTCGGATGTCAGCGGTCCAGTCCGAAGAAGATGACGTGGTGATTGGGGCATTTGTCGCGTCGAGACAGGTCTGGATGTTGTCGCTGGAGTTTCCTGTCTTGCCGTTTTGAGCGTGTGCCGAAAGGGGATTGGCTATGCCCAGTGGAAGGGCAGTAACCGCTGATAAACAAATGCAGTTGAACCGCATATCTCAAAAGATAGGGCAAGAATCGAACGTTGCTGTCCAAGTCTGGCCGATTACCTATTTATCAAACGTCATGTTGGCACTCGGAGCCTGGTTGACCTCAGTCTTTTCTTCAAGGAAGGCCTGGCCGTTTGGCCCCCCCGAGTAAGGGTTGGGTTTGGCTGGGCCGCTCATCATCCCTTTAGCAGCGGAAAAATTGACGTCGTATTTCTTTTAGTATTTTATAGGTATCTAACCAGATCGAGTAAGACGTCCAGGATAGAGCCTAAAGCATACACCAACTATTACACGCCAAGGTATTATTTTGCATCACTTTTCAAAGTTAAACAAACAAGAAAACAGGATTGCTCGTTAGATATAAAGTGAGAAGGCTAGGATGCACTATGTTGAGAGAGGTTAGGATTAAAATTAGAGTTGCGGGTATGAATCGTATGTTCTTACGTATGTGAAAATATTAATATTCATGAAGCTTAGAGGTTGCAGTAGTCGCCGGGTTCCGAGAAGAGTTTGCATACCAGCAAAATACTTAAAAGTATACTAGCAATTTACCTACTGGTGACTTCTGCGATTTTCTTCGAACCAAACAAATAGTACTTTGGTTTTTCAGGGTTTGTTTGGGTTCAACAGTGCGGTGAGGCGCAAGGCCTAAAATCCATGGCAGTCTAGTGTGCCGCTTCGACAACGCAAATAGCTTGGCCTCTAAAGGGTGATTCGTCCACACACACGAAAGGAGTTAAGAATTGAGCCAGAGCCATCGCTCTAGCGCTTCTTTTCAGTTGAAGAATACTGCGCACCAACTCCCTACAAAGCCGATTTATCTTCTAGACTGGCGAACGATGCCTCTGGGCGTCCTGAGCCCTCGAGGGGGCATATATTAAATCCGAGTGAGGTATCTCCTCTCCATTTTCATCTTCAAGAATTTCCTGTTCTTCTTTTCTCGAGTTTATTTAAGAAAAATAAAACCGTAGAAAGGTGCCAATTTCTGGGTGAAAATGCAAATGTCATATAAAGCGATGTTCTATCAATAGGAGGTGCTTAGATAGGAATATAAGTAACGCCGAACCCAATAAGGAGGCGATGAGATCAAAGGCGCTGTCTGCCAGGGGCTGCGTGGTACAGGCTAAACAAATTAATAGAAGGTAGGGGTATAAAAGTAGCTAGATTCATATCCGGCCGTCTTTTCATTTGTCGCGCAAAAACAACGCCGTTAGTTACATCAGCACAACTAACGCCTTATATCACCTCATAACACACACCCCTAGATCACAGGTAGCCTTACTTATGTAGACCTACTCTAGGTAGAGAAGCCCTATAGCCTCCTAAAGGTACACACTCCCCTAGGGCAAATACTACTATAACTCTTTAACCTTCTAATTAAGTATATCTTACTAAAGTCTAGGTAGTTGCTGTCTAACTTATCTAGGTGGAGTATCTATAACCTGTCCTTAGCCTTAACAGGATTTAAACCTACAAGGTCTATAAATCTTAGACACTAGCTTAAGGGCTATACTATTAAGGTATATAGCATAAACTAGGCTTATAACTATTATATAAAAACAGCACTATTAGTTGTAGTAGTACAACTAACGCCTTATATCACTTTGTGACATTATTGTAATTCAAGAAGATAATCTTTCTATGGAACTTATGACTTGGACTTCCGAAAAACATGGCTTGTTGTAAATTCCATGGTTCTCTCAATGGCACTATTCAACCCTTTAGAACCATTTATCGTCCAGCATAGCCTCATGAAACCGTCCGATCGGTTGCCGTTGCTACATGATGAACCTGTCGCCTTAATCTGGCGAAGGGAAAGTTGTGCTTGAGGCCATTCAACCTTTGCTCGACTACTACCTCATTTGTATAAGCGCATTATGGACGGTAGAGTAAACACTAGACTGAGACTCGGGATAAACTATTGAGCGAAAAAGACCCAAGTAGAACAGGAGTGCTAGTTACAACTTTATTGTCACTCCAGAGAGCACCTAATGGTCTCTTGAAACACTCATACCGAGAGTTAATGAGTGCACTTGGGCTCTTTCTCAGAACACAGTTTTCGTTACTCATTCGCCTATGTACTTTGCATACTTCATCCACTCCTCGTCTTCTTCTAGCTTGTTCATATCCTCATCCCTCAAGCAAATCGCCAGTGCGATGCTGCCTTCTCGCGATTTGGGCAACAGGTATGCGAGACTCTCCACCGGCGTGAACCGCGGTCTCCTGACCGACTCGGGCTTTCCCAGACCCAAACCGAAATCCTGCTCGTACAAGTCAAGCTTCGCCCAGGAACTGAGCATGAAGTCCTTGTCTAGACGAAGTTTGCCAGCCAAGGAGAAGCCTCTCTTGTCGGGGGACCGGGCAAGCACCGTCGCGAATGCGCGGATGCTATAACTCAAGGCTTCGGGGTTCACTTCCAGCCGCAGGTCCGATGCCACTCCTCCAAGCGGGCCGTTTACAAGATCTTTGAGAGAAGATAAGTTGCAGGTCATGGTTTGTAGAATGCCAGGGAACGTTTGAGGGACGCCAAGGTAGCCTCGCACGTCCACGGCTCGTGCAAGTTTGATTTCTTCGTCGGGGTATAAACGCGACGCGCGGGCACGCGTGACGGATTGCCAGATAAAGGCAGTGAGTGCGTCATCTGTTGTAATGTAGCCTGACTTGATCATTTCCATAGCCTTAGACTTCAGGGCGGAGAGCGAGCTGACAGGAAAGTCGAATAAGGTCCAACGGCATTTTGCGGGTGCTGATGATGGTTCTTTCGGCGGTTCAACGATCATTCGATCAACTTCGGGGCCTCTCTGGTAGTTGTCCAGCAACGGAACGACGTTATGACGGGGTAGGTTTCCTGCCGCGACTTCATCGTCGGTGAAAGATTCGTTTCGACATGCCTTCGATAGGAGACCGATGATCTGGCCTTGGCCAACACCATCCATTGCTTGATGGTTGCCGAGGAATGTGAGGACGAGTCCGCCTTGTATGAAAGTGGCCTGGACAATGAGGAGAGGTTGAGGTTTACCATCCAGAGCGGGGTCGATGGGCAGTGTCGGGCGCGCAGCGACGATGCTCTCGTCGAGCATGTAGAGGGGGAAATTTGCCTTTTTCATGGCGTCCATCGTCGGCGGCGAGTCGTCATCTCGCAGGTCTTTGATGACAAGGGGTGGCGTCGTCTCGTATGGCTTCATCTTATAGACGCCTGTGCTGTCCTCGCTTGCGCCTTCATTGACGACTTGTCCAGCGATCCAGGGGAATGCCGCGGTGAGCCTCTCGAGGCCAACTGTAAGAGTGCTGATGATTCTCGAGATTGAAGACTCATCTTGTACTGAGAAACATATTGCGATCTGAGTGTAAATGTTGAGGTTTGGCAGTTGGCCGAGAATCTCGAGGGGCTCGTCCATGCCGTGCGTTGTTGAGGGAGTCTTATTATTGCTTGTCGTGGGTGCCACCATGGAAGCTGCTTGACGCCGAATGGTTTTTTGTGTTTGTTTCTGGAGAGTTCTTCACACTCGGCTGGTTGGAATATCAAAAGGGGATCGCCAGACTTAAAGCTGAGGACTGTGACTGCCAGAACATGAGAACATTGCTTTTCAACCTCGAACCGAGGGAATAAGACGTGCCAAGCCTAGTTCATCCCAAGTCATTTACCGAATCGGGCTAGATCAAATCCTCTTCTGAGTCACCCGTCATGACTCCACCTGGCTCACTATGAATCATCCATGACTATGCCAAACACAGATATTCTAAACAGGCATTCAAGAGTATCTGACAGTGTGAGACTGCCAAAGATCGAAGCCGGCCCGTCTTACGTGTACGCGTATGGTGTCGCATCTCAGTGCACTTTAAGGGGATCTGATCCTTCCCACTAATAAGAACCAAATGGACAACCTTCCCTCCGTCTCACTACCTTTTGAGAATGGCACTATAGAAGGCCCGCCGGCCGGCAGTCTAGTCCGCGACATCGTCTGCGCGTTCACACCGTCCGGGTCACCCATAAGGCGGTGTTGAATTCACCGATGCTATGCTGACACACCCAGGGCTCAGCAGGTTTGATTGCTTTCTCCAACACGATGCATCGCATGCCTGGTACCGCTCAGTTTCTGCGTCATGCATCTGCTATATAACCATCATCATGTCTGTGCCTCTTGACAACACTATCTTGCTCGCCATTCACAGCACCCTTCCAGCTCGGTCCACGGCTTAGAGAACACCAGTTCTTCGTCGAAGATAACCATGGCGCAACACAGGAAGATGACCCAAGTAAGTTGCAATTGTGATTCCAAATTTGAATAAATCCGTAACCGATCCCAGCAACTCATTGAAAAGTTAATCGGACGGGCCAGTGGCTCCGTAATGCAGTTCTCGAACTCGTTGGCCGACAAGGTAAACCATCAACAAATCATGCCGTGGACCTACACCTGACAAATACTTCATAATTGGTGGTGCAGATGCTATCCCCTAGCAAGTCGGCCAATACCCTCCCGACGCATTGATTCGTGGGGTATCTCGAGTGAAGTTATGCATCTCAGCGTGCTCGATGTAACATACAGGACGACTGTTAGGTATTTTAGAAAGCAAGCCATAATCCAATGGCAATACTGCAAACCAGCCTCCGAAACCTTCATGGTTCCGTCAATTTTCCATTCCGCATTTAATAGCTGGAAGCTGCCTCGCTAGGGACCGCGTAAAGGGGCTTCAAGTTGCCCATTCGATCGCATGCTGCAAACTTCCACCAGTTCGTGTGGAACCAGTAGGTGATGTGGTGGCAGAGAAGCTTGATGGCCGGTGGTGCCGGGGGCCAGTTTTTCCAGTGGCCACCCTCGAAGGCGATGTCGTGGTTGGAGAAGCAAAAGGGTAGGCCCTTGACCAAGCCCAATGCTTTCTACTCGACACACGCACTCGTCAGTGTGCCATGCGCAACCGCCGCACCAGTGGACGCCACTCACCATGCTCTTCCCGCCTTCTTCTGCGAACTTCTGCTCCAGCGGCGCCATCTTGTCGATGCCGAAATCCTTGAGCCCCAGGATGCTGGGGATCTCGTCTCCAAGGTGTTTGGTCAGCGCCTCTCCGAACCCGTCAATCAACGCGACCAACTTCGGGCCGTCAAACTTCTCCTTCCCGCCGAGGCAAGCGTCAACGTAGGTTTTGAAGGCTCCCAGCCCGTCATGGAACTCTCTGTGCTGCGAGACGTTGCAGTCCATTAGACCCTTCTGGCCCGTCATCTCCTCGACGGCCGGGAAGAAGTCGGCTTCTTCTCCAGAGTGGTGGACGTGCAGCAGACTGTACCAAGCGAGTGTGTACCGCAGGAAGGCTTTGGAATCGGAGGGTGAGACGAAGGGCGCTTGTAGGTATATCGAGTTCAGACCGCGGATCACCATGTTGTGGATGAGCGCCATTTCGGACGCGATGCGGGTAAACATGTCGGGCTGTGTGTTTCAGCCTTTGATCAATCGAATATAAACCCGTCAGGAACACTGACCTTCGGAGCATCTTTCTCATTTCGAGCGGTTTGGTACGCTGGAGTGGATATAAGAGCGTAAGGGTGATCAGCGTAAATTGCCATGGTGAAGCCTATAGATCAGATATGAGGACGATGCTAGTGTGCAAGATGGAGGGGAGCAAGCCCGATTTATTCGTCTCCATCACATAGCTCCCCAAATGAGGGCTTCAGGCTCCGTCCTATTGTAGAGGCCAACACAGGGATAGTTACGTCCAGACATCCCTACGTTTTATTCACGCCCCATATACCTCCTAGTCTCAAAGCCATATCTAGTCCTAGCTCCAGGGCTTGTCATTGCTCGCCGAGCTCTCAGCATAGTCTTCGACGGGAAGGGAAAGGCACGGATTTGGAAGCCCAGGACTAGACATCACCGTGTTCTTCGCTGGTAGGAATAGTAAGAACTGCCGCTTCGGCTATTGGCCGTGAATGTATTCCTACCTTTCAGCGTGGCGCGCTAGCCATCAGGTCAATGGCTTGTGGCTCTGAGGCTGGGTGCTGGAACGACCTAGGCCTTAAACCCTATCAAAGGCTGAACTATGGCCGATACCCCAAGACAGGGGCGCCCTGTAAGGACAATATGCTCAAGAACATTGAATCAGTCCTGTAGTGATGTCTTACTGGCCTCCGATTTCGTAGGACTGTGGCCCATACGTTGGCAACGATCACATCTCCTTCGGCATTCTAGCACAAACAGTCAAACGTCCGAAAACATCTATATACAATCATCTTGGTTCTTCAAATCGCCTCCTAGATGAAAGACATGATAGCCATGTTTTCTCAGCCCTGTCTGTAAGGAAAGGCAGCTCGGTCATTGGCGGCCGGATGAGAACGAGACTCACCGAGATATGCGGGGTTGATGAGCGCGGTACGCCGACATGTTACCGGTGCTTCCAATTGGATGGTCGTTTTGATCAGACTTGCCGACGAAACTGACAAAACTATGGGCCGTCATTTAGTGAAAGAAAAGGAACCGTTCTAGGTCATTGAATGAAAGATATATATATATGTATACGCGAATTGGATATGTACAGATAACAATGCCCATCAGCCAAGCCGATGCTCCCTCGTTTCCCCCCTTTTTACATACTTGTGCTCCCAGATTTGGGCCCCATGCTCAACGCTTAAACGTTATAGCTCTTGAGCAGACTGTTGTAGTATTGGTACCCCGTGCCGGAGGAAGGCTCGAAGCTGTACATGTAATCCGCCCACCAGGGCCCGGCCGCCCACCAGATAGCGCCGGTCCACACGTCCGAGTTGGCTTTGAGGTGGTCGAGCAGGCCCTTGACGGCGGCCTGGCACTGGGAGTTGGCGCCGCCGGCGAACTCGCCGATGATGCCGACCTTACCGTTTTGGCGCAGCCAGTTAGTGGCGGACTGGACCCGCTCGACGCCAATGGTAGAGGACACGCAGTCCGGAGAGGTGCCGGAGCTGTCCGAGTCGAGGTACTGGTGCATCTCGTAGACGATCTTGTTCAAGGGGTCCGTCAGGGCCTTCATGTTGTCGTTGGTAGTCGCCCACGACCACGCGCCGGACCACGCGTTGCCCTCGACAAAGATGTACTGCGTGGCGCCGGCGGCGCGGATGCCGTTGATGGCGGCCTGGTTGAGGTTGAGCACGAGCGTCTGGTCCATTGTGTTGTACTCGTTGTTGGTATCAAAGATGACGTGGTTGTTGTTCTTAAACAGAGTGGCGAAGTTCTTCCACCACGTTTGGAAGCCGTTGGTGTCAGTGATGATGGCGTCGTTGAAGCGGCCGTAGTTGTGTGGGTCCAGGACGGCCCACCCTCCGCTCTGAGTGATGTGGTTGACCACCTGCGTGAAGTTCTGCAGGTAGGCGTTGTTGTAACCGCTGGTCAGGGAGCCCGGCGTCAGGCGCTCCATCTTGAGCTGGACGCGGAACGTGTTGTATCCCTGGCCGCGGAGTGTCTGGGTACACGTCAGAAACACGCTCATCGGTTTCTGGAGGTTCACAGTTCATGGACAACTTACGGAGATGGTCGAAAGGTCGGGGAAAGTGAACTCCTTGCCCCAGGTACCGGGAAGGGTCTTCTCGCCTACGAGGTTGAATATGATTAGAGGCTCAACATCGTCTGAAGTGGATAGAAAGACCTACCAAACTCTGCTCCGGCTTCGTTGACTCCAACCCACTTCCACCCGCCGTTGCTAGTCGGGGGAGGCGTCGAGGTGGGCGACACCATCGATGTCGTCCTCGTCACAAGAGTGGTTCCGGCCGGAGGCGGGCTGGAGCCGGGGATACATTGGCTGTACCATTCGTTCGTGGCAGTGCAGGTGTACCCAGCGACACAGGTCGTCGCTCCGGTCCAGCCTTGACCACCGCACTGAGCCCAGGCACCTGCCTGAGCCGAGGCCGCGCCGATGAGGGCGCCAAGAGAAAGAAGGCACTTCATTGTGATCGATCTCCGAGTTGAAGCGTTTCGATGCCGAGATGCAGAGGCGTAAGAGTGTCCCGGTCCAGCACATGGCCTTAGCTGTCTCTCTTATATAGCTGGCCTCCAACTATCCTCGAAAGCGTTGCATTTTGTCTCTAGCTTCCTCGACTATAGTTCCCTGATCATGGAACCCTCCATTCCGCGGCGCCTTTCTCCTTTCGTCCTTGGGGTCACGAGCGCCGTGAGGTCGCTAGGGCTTGATGACTCGCTGCTGCCGTGGCAGGGATATTACCAACGTGATTATTCTCTCCGTCAATCTATATCGTCGGCTCATCGACCCGCTGGAGGCGGGAATTAGTGCAAGGGGACCGAGTTCATTTCCTCTTCTAGCCCGGCATTTCTGGAGCCGCAGGTACAGTAAAGGCTTGATGAGGAGAAGGTTCTCGGTCGGACCGGCCCACTGGATCCGCGTGAAGCAGTATTGAACCGGGTGATCATTAACGTGTGCGACCAGTAGGGAGGAATGCCATCTTCGGCAGCGGAAAGACGGGGGTCGCGGCGTCGGACATGGCGTCCTTTGGGGTTGCTTTTGGACCGGAGTATCACCCTCCGACGTTGCACCGGGCCGTTGGACGCACATTTGTCGACGCATGACCACGGATCGAACAATTTTCGGTACCAAGCATCCAAATGGCTCTCATGGCTGTTTCCACCATTTGGATTCCGGATGGGAATTAGATTGGGATGGTTGTAGGGGTAATATGGCCCGGGTGCGACATCCGTAAGCTTCCGGGTGAATTCAGTCGTTTCCAAAGCCCTCAAACTGCTTAGATGCTGTTCATAGCCACATCACCGGCTTCGGACGAGTTATAGCACTTGGTCTGGCCCAAATATCTGAAGCTGTATGCTCCAGTTGATTGGCGTGAACTATCTGTAAGTCATCGGGAAGTTCTAGGCTTGACCTCTTGACGATTATGACAACGAATTCAGACCAGCTCGCTTCCATTGAGAACTACGGAAGGGTTGCCACGAACCTAGACTTAAATATGGTGTTGCGGACTGTAAATGGCGACTTACCCTCAAAGAAACCCGTGATCCCACTAGGTCAGATTCCTCTTCCTGATGGTTCTGCCTTGGTCGAATCGGGTCGATCGGATAGAAGAAAAAGGCCAATGTGAGTCTCTTGGAAACGGAAACTGTAGCGTTCTAATTGATCTTGAAGAAGATGAAAACTAGGCCAGCCTATTTGCATGTGCTATTTGCAACGGCACATACGGTATAACCAGGCGATCTTCTGATAACTCCCTGACGCCATTGGAGTGTTCTCGTTTCTCTCCATCCCAGACCTCGAATGCTTGCGTTTTACAAGTCGCCTCTTCCGAGGCCAAACTTGTACGCAGCCAGGGCCCGTTCTCGGCAGCCTTTATGATCGACAATCTGTTGGGGATAGCCCGTCTTCTTCGCCTGCGCACCGGCCCCGCGGCCGTAGGGATCGTGAATGGCCTTGCCAGTGATGCCCTTGAGCTCAGGCACCCACTTCCGAATATACTCGCCATCTGGGTCGAACTTCTCGCTCTGTAATAACGGGTTGAAAATCCGAAAGTAGGGCTGGGGGTCGACGCCGACGCTGGCAGAGAAACCCCAGCCGCCATTGTTTGAGGCAAAGTCGCCATCGATGAGGTTCTCCATGAAGTAACGCTCGCCCATGCGCCAATCAATGAGGAGGTCCTTTGCAAGGAAGCATGCGACGATCATGCGACACCGGTTATGCATCCAGCCCATTGCGTGCATCTGGCGCATGGCGGCGTCCACGATGGGGAAACCTGTCTGGCCCGTGCACCAAGCTCTGAAGTTGTCCATGTCGTATGACCATTCGATGTTTGCGTACTCGGGCTTGTATGGCTTGTTCATACTGGGCAGGACTAGTCAGTGTTCGTGGAATCTCGAAGAAGGAGAGAGCCGGGGGATCCGCTACATACCAGACATATGGCCAATGTACCAAGACGTGCTTGTAGAAATCACGCCAGGCCACCTCGCTTATCCAGACACGAATTCCCTCGATGCCCGCGTCGAGCTTCTTGGTCTTGTTACGGTCGCGGGCATACCGTACGCAGGTCCTCGAACTGATAGTTCCACTGGCAAGGTGCACGGATAGATTCGAGGTTCCGGAATCATGGGGGATGTTGCGTTTGTTGTGGTACTGGCCGACCTTCTCCTCGCAGAACTTCTCTAAACGGCATCGAGCCTCGTGTTCCCCGGCCGGGAATATGGCGCGAAAACGCTTCTTCTGCTCGTCGTCGAGTTTTCTGTCGGCAATCTCGCTCGGGATGTCCGTGTCGAACAGGCTGTTGAATTTGTCCCTTGTGCCGGAAGGGTTCTTTGCAGGCGGATGGCACAGCTCAAGAAGGTCTAGATTGTCGTGTACATGGCGGACCCAGGCTTTGAACCAAGGAGTATAGACGGCGTATTGTTTGCCTGAGCCGCTGGTAAGCTGTCCTGGGGGGACGACGCACGTGTCGTGCAGGACCTCATACGAGAGGCCCCTGTCGGCAAACATGCGGACCATCTTCGCCTCTCGGCGGAGCTCATCAACCTCGTACTCCATATTAGCAAATAGGTGGCTGGCTCCCCACTGATCCATGAGCTCGGCTATCCTGTCAGGTATCCTTTTGCG